TAACTTTTGAAGTAATAATAATATGTCAATAAAGATATATTTTTTATTTATATCTGAATTTTGACACATATGCGTGTGTGTGTGTGTAAAGCTGTTAAAGCACAGAGAATTATATATCTAGTAGACGACCAATTCTTATAGCCCTGTGTCAGACTTGATCAAATTCATAAAATATTTATACACACTCGTGCGCACACACAGACACACATATATACTCTCTCTCCCTCTTTCTCTCTCTCTCTCTCTCTCTATATATATATATATATATATATATATATATTATTTATCTTTCTTTTTCTTTCTTTCTTTCCGTAGACATTGTCTTAATATTTATGATGTTAAATGATGGTTCCTAAAACCGATTGGGGGGGGGTTCCAAAAACATTATATTATTTCTATCAATCTCTCTCCCCCCCTCTCTCTCTCTCTCTCTATATATATATATATATATATATATATATGTGTGTGTGTGTGTGTGTGTGTGTGTGTGTGTGTGTGTGTGTGTGTATCTGTGTGTATGTGTGTGTCTATTCATATCTCAGGCTATCTATCTATCTATGCCTGGTCATCTATCTATCTATCTATCTATCTATCTGTATATCTATCTATCTATCCCATTTTGTTCATATCAGTTTATTGCTATCTATCTATCTATCTATCTATCTATCTATCTATCTATCGTGCGTACGTGCATGTTAACTATTTGCCTGATTAATCCTAGTCTTCATAATAATGAATGAATGACGGTGGAACTAGTCCCGCAAGCCTTTATTTATGAGTTCGATTCTCACTAAGTGTCCAACTAATGAAGTTATAATATGAAAGAAAAAACAGAAAACTAAACTCAGTACTCTCTCTCTCTCTTCTCTCTCTCTCTCTCTCTCTCTCTCTCTGAGAAGTAGAACACCTGATTAGAACTTCTGGCCGAATTCCACTCGGCTGCTCAATAGTTTATTTCATTTTAATTTTTCATGTCCGATTTAGCGCTTCTTTAGTTATTAGTGCTCATGACACTTGCATGCTTTTTGGGGATTGTAACGATCAGTTTGCAAGTTACACAACGAAATGCTTGTGTTATTTTTGTCTGTATTTAAATAGAACTTTTAAATCCTCGTAAATCACGTGGAGATTGGGCTTGCTTGTGTCCCCACCACCGTCCCTTCACACCCGGGCACTCACACACCACAGACACACCCTATTAAGTATGAAAAAACTGTACATAGCATCCATATACAGAAATATGCAAACAAAGATTTATCCGGTGGTGCTGTGCATTACAATAGGCGTCGCAAACAGAATTAATCATTTTGATTTTTTTTTCTGTCAAAGAGGGTGAATTTCTGAAGCTCGGGGGCGGGGGTAATTTTTTTACTTTTTCTTGTTTTTTATTTACAGAATTTGGAGCCCATGAGTGTAAAAAAAGAAAATCCTCGCTAAAGATAATCCGTGTAAATGTATACATGATAATAGGGAAAATAATGAAGTTTTTCACTAATATATGCTTATTATTTGGAATGGACGTTCTGAGTCGGACAATTTTGAAAAAAAAGTGAGGGGGGATATGACATTCTGACATATGGTGAAAAGAGGGTATTGGGCAAAAAAAAAAAAAATGGTTGAGAACCACTAGTCTACAAACAAAACTCCAAATCATGAATATAAAAAAAAATACAGTGCCCCGTTTGCTACGTAAATTTATATTGCAAATTGAACCCGCCTACGGAAACCAAAATAAAATATGTCCATACAGGATTTCTTAAAATTAAAAATAAATAAATAAAATGCGTAATCTTGAGTTCTTTTTTTCATATATTCCTATTGATTAAGTAGTCTAGATTACGGAGTAAAAAAAATTTTTTTTTTTTCTTAAAAACACGTTGTAAGCATATTTGTTTTGGCTTCCGTAGGGGTATCAGTTTTATAATGAATTTACATAGCAAACTGGATCCCATATTAAATTTTGTAAAAATATTTTTTTTTGTAATCGCGATCTGAAGTACTTAATTGTAATATGAAAAAAAAGATGATAATTTCCGCTTGCAGAATTGTACAACTACATCGTTTCTATTTGCGGCAACTGTCGACAAAAAATATACACAGCCATAAGATACATGAATTTTTATCAGGAAGGAAACCTAAAAGAAAAATCGGACAAAGATAAACAGAGAAAAGAAGATAGTTACTGAGCTTAGTCAAGTCTGGTAAAAGGCCAAAAAATTGAGCAGATTTTGGTCCCTTCAGCCATTTCTGTTTGCTAGTGCCATTTAAAAATAATTCCCCATTCGTTTGCGCGCGCCTTTTTTTTTTTTTCTTTTTTTTATATTTTTTTTACTTCCAATCGTTTGTTTCATTTCTATTTTGACCTATTGTGTGCGTTTTAACATCTGCCTAAGTTGAACCCTACCCGTCATATGACTGGATGAATGCATTGAACCTGGGGTTGGGGTGGGGTCGTTTTGAGGCCATAGGCAGCAAATATGCTTTGTAGGGTGACCTCTGTGTCACGTATGTTATGTGTAGGGTTCGAAAAGATTTCTAAAGGTTAGATTGTTTTGGCACCTGGACGAAATTGTGCGGCAACCGGCGATTGTACGAGGAGAGGTGGGAGATTTCTCAGTTCGACCCAGTTTCCAATATTTGACCAAATAAGTGACCAAATCTCTAGTTCGAGCCGAGAACTTTTCACCATCCCTCAAAATGTGTATGTATGTATATAATATATATATATATATATATATATATATATATATATATATATATATATATATATATATTTATCTCCTCTCTCTCTACACACACACACATATAGATAGATAGATAGATAGATAGATAGATAGATAGATAGATAGATAGATAGATAGATAGATAGATATGAAGAGATTGCCATTGATAGAGTGATAGATGAACAGACATAGATAGATAGATAGATAGATAGATAGATAGATAGATAGATAGATAGATAGATAGATGTTATTGTTGTACCACCAAATAATTGACACTGCCTCCTATACAGCGCCTGTTAGGTGTTTAATCATAATAACAGAAATGATCTCACTTTTCTGACCTCACAACAACCAGTCTGTCGCTCTTTGAATAGAGCAACCATGTTTTGGAGAATATTTTATTATAATAATAATAATAATAATGATAATAATAATAATAATATGATTCAAATCAAAATGACTATTTTAAAAAAGGAAAAAGAATCGTAGAAAAAAAGGCAAACGTGTAAGATAGTCACTGGCATCTAACGAATCTAACGAATGGCAAGCGAAAACGAAGAGAATTGGGTCGAAAAGAATGGAAGAAATAATGATGGCAAAGGACGAGCAGGATGGACAGAATGAACGAATGAGTGCGGGACGAATAAAGTGAACTGATTTATTCATTCATACGCTTGTTGATATATTTGGTACTACAAATACGTCACCATTCCGCTGAGAGGAAAGAACGCTCTCCCACACTGCCTCTAAAAAAGTATCAGTTTCATAGAAAAACAGGCGTCGTATTAAATGTTGGGTGCCTACTGTAGCTCCATATTTAACCAACTAATATTCAGTTGAATAGTGTTATGAGTTCAATCCACATTCGCGTATTATAAAAGCGGCCTTCTGTCAAATCAAGTGACGTATTTTTTTTTATTATTTTACAATGAGGTTAACCTTTTACAAGCCCCGAGGACCACTCGAGTTAGTGGGTTACGTTAGGAGGCCATTAGTTTCTATAGGAGTGGAAGATAACAATTATTAACCCTAGTTAAGATTTTAGTGATCAGGAAAACATCCTGTTCGGAGTCGGTTCTATAGGGCAGTGGTTCGCAGGAAAAAGCTGTTCGAGTGGAACTTCTCACCAAGTGAATGTAAGTGGTTTGCTACTATGTAAGTGTCATGGCGTGTTCTTGCTGTGTAGATTTGCCTCTGCGAGACCAGGGAATTTAGTACGTCTGAGAACTTTTCGTAGAAGTAGAGGTGGAGCAGTGAGAGGTTTGCCACATCCCGCCTGTGGGAGAGAGGTTGAAAGGTGGAGAATAGTTCGTCACCCACAAGGGCTTGGAGACGCTTTTGAACTTCATCAAGGCTGTAGAGTGAGGTCTGGGCAGCTCCCGCCCAAATAAGAAAACAGTACTTCATTTTTGGCTTAACCTGGCTCTTGTAAAGGTAGGGGATATCAGGAGGAATCAGGTACTTACTGGAGCGGTACAGGGAACCGGCCATTTTATCTGTATCCTTAGCAAATGATCGTATGTACGAGTTCCACTTAAGGCTGGGTGTAAGTTTGAGGTCCAACAGTCTTTCAAGACATGGTGCTACCTCGAGAGGACCCCCGTTCATTTTGATTGGTAGTAATTCGGGGTCAAATCGACGATGAGGGAATGTGACTAGTTTGGTTTTCGAGGTATTGAATGTAACCAGTCAGTTTTTATCCCATTTGTGAAAGATCGGAAGAGAGATCAGTCGCCAATCTCTGACCATCGAGAATTTTAGAGATGGGCCCAAATATAGTCATATCATCGGCATAGATGTTTACAAATGATCGGAGTATATTCTTAGACAAATCATTTATGTAAATCAAAAAGAGGGTTGGTCCGAGGGTGAGAACTGGGGTGCGCCTGCGTTGATCTTCTAGGGCTCCGGAAGGACTGGCCATTGATAACTACCTTTCATGGCTCTACCTGTTAGGAAGGATTTTATGATCGAGAAGACCCTTCCAGTGATTCCATAACTGGAGAGCTTGTGTAGTAAGCCTTTGACCCACACCTTGTCAAAGGCCTTTGAGACTTCTAGGGCTATGGTCCTCAGGGTGTGTTTGTCATCAAGAACCTCACTGATTCTGAGAGTGATGGTGGGAGGTCGGCAGTTGAGAGAAACAGCAGGGACACCAGACCAGATATGGCAACAGTATTCAATGCACGGACGAATGGTGGATTTGTAAATGTTTAAGAGGGACTCTGACGGGAAAAAAAAACCTGGCACGACATAGAGAACCAACTTTTCTTGCAGTAGATGCAGCTATTGATTCAATGTAGTTGTTTCAAGAAGGTGCAGTGAGATACTTTCCCGGAGTCGAGCATCAACCATGCTGATGGTGGGCAGGAAACTTTCTCTATAGGGGTTAAATGAGAGTAATTTAGTTTTGAGGGCATTAAAATTTACAAGCCATTTCATGTCCCTGTTAACCACTGATTGGAGGTCCTTTTCGAGAGCCGCGGCCAGTTTAACTTTGTCAGCACTGCCGGATTTACTATTGAGAGAGGAGTAAATGGTATGTGATATACGTCTTGGTAGAAAATCATATACCATATATACATATATACATTACAGTTCATACGTTTCAGGGAACCACTGGTAATTTTTTTTAAATTGGCACAAAAAATCGTTGTTTTGTCTTTTAAATGAGGGTAATTATTAAAGATGTTTTAAAAAAAGCGAGACATGATTTTTTATTAGAAATTGTATTATGACAAAAAGAAAATAATCATTTTATGGTTAAATTTTGCTCTCGTCAAATATCCTCCTTTAACCGCGATTACTGCAGCACACTTTTTTGGCATCCGTTGCAAAAGTTTCTCAAAGTATAACTTTGATATTTGTTTCCATTCTTTTTTCAATGACTGTAGGAGCTCTTTTTGACAATTTCCTTGTTTAAGTTGGTGAATGAGGCCATAATCCTTGCCTTCAGTTCATCCAGACATCTTCAAGCCTAGGATTAACCCTTAACTCATATATAACCTCATGAACTACACTTCTTGCCTTTACTTACGCTCATGAAACGTCACACTAACACTCTACCTTGAGTAGGTTTTGATGCTTGTATTGGATGAAAATTAGTAATATATATATATATATGTATATATATATATATATATATATATATATATATATATATATATATATATATATATATACTAATATACACGGGCCATCAAAAATGACTTCAATTGTTAGAAAGTTTTAATACTGAGACACAATGAAGCAAAAGTCTTTAAACAATGTATTGAGATTCAATAAAGTAGAGATAAAGAATTCAAAACAAAAATGGAGGCCAATGAAGCATTTAATTAATCCATTCCCGTTATATTTTTTAAACGGTCAATGCTTTCGATGACTCATTGATTATTCCTGGTATTATATAAAGTCGCCTTTTGCTCAATATCTTTTCATGTTAAAAATGTTATGTTTAATATGACTGTGAAATGGAAATATCTCTCGGAAGAAAAAGATTCGCAACAGAATAACAAAGACGGCGACGGCAGAGCTTATTTTCAAAAACAAGACGATCACTTAACAGACAAAAGTATCTGAGTGCCTCACATGAAAGGCTTGAACAAATAAAACTACAATCTAAGAAACATAGGAGCAAAGGAACTGATTAATTAAATAGTTTGTTTTGCTCGGGAAATAATTTTGTCTAAATGCAGATAAATATTTTATTTGTGCAAATTATTAAAATAACTAAGGGAAGTAATCAGTCATAAATTTACTAACGTAAGTTGATTTACCTCCCTTCTCACTACAAATGAGACAGGAAATATATAAAAAAATACACATTGATAATATATGTGGTTCGATATATGTGTACATCGGTGTATGCGCGCGCACGCGCGTGTGTGTGTGTGTTTGTGATGGGCTCTCCCCTTATTTTCGACGCTTGAGGTTCTAACATTGCTCTATATGTGTTTGTGACTTTGATATCTCTGAAAGCTAGCTTCAGACTCACAACATTCCATACATAGGACAAGGAACACCATCCTCTGGGAAGGCTGCGAGAATATTAAAGCAATGTTTACTCATCTGCCTTGTAATACGTAGATGTTCAATGCTTGAAATCTCAAAATGTTTCAAATGCTTTTTTATGGACACATTCCTCCATTTGACACAACAATTGAAGGAAATATGTGACAGCCAGGATCAAAGATATTCTGTCGGCTCCACTGTCATGTTATTCATAAACAACGATTAAGTACAATGTTTCTTGAAGTATGTAAAATGTCATGGATAGTAACGTTTACATCATTTTAAACCATTGGCGATTTCCACTAAGGAAGATCATAAGTGTAAACATCTTTTGAAACAGCAAACATCCATAATAATTTTTTCTCTAAAGAAGACATATATTTTTTTTCAAGTGAATAAATCAGAAATAAATCACACGCAGCGACATCTGTTATTCACACCGTCATTAGTGATAATATTATACCAAGACTTCATTTTTTTAATTATGATAAAATATTTTCTAAAAATAAAACTTCTCTATCATTTCTTACCCATATGGTTTTCCGTAGTGAAAATAGCTGAGATATCTACTACGTAAAATTACCTTGAATCTGTTTAGTAGTTCGGCCCACCTTGTGATGAGTCAAAGGTCATGCGGACCATTGCTTGAAAAGGGTTGCCTGTGCCTGATCTAAAGTGTGATATGAATGAATAAGGGGGGAGTGTTATGAAGTAAACATTATGAAGGCAAAGAGGAAAGATAAAATAAATAAAACGATAGATAAAAAGAGGATAGATGTAACCGTAAGTTCTATGTTAACAGTTTCTTCTCTTCTTTCCTCTTCTTTTACTGTTCTTGCTCTTTTATAATGTTCTCCGCCCTATTCTCTCAAACTCAGTAACTCCTTGCGTTTTAGTGGCTTGCGGTGAAATGATATTAAAAAAAAAAGAAAGATTGAAAATTGACCTGAAAAGGTTATGATTGTAGCGTTTAGGGAAGAAGCCACGCGAAAGTCTGTTCCTCAAAATGGCAGTTCTTGAGAAAAAACTATCTGAATAGAAATTTCTCCTTGTATATTAACTATCTTATTCTCCAGTGTATAATAAATTATCACTTACTATAGAAATGGGCTGCAAATACGCTAAAATGGATTGTCTGTGGTCAGGTATTAATGCAAGTTATACCTACAGAATAGGGCATTTTGTTTGGTTGGTTGATTGGTTTTTAACGGCATATCAACACCTCTATGGGTTATTTAATGCCGAAATCTAAATTTTTTTAGCATAATTTTAGGGCTTCAACTAAATATATTTTGAACGGAATTGTATGCCTTCAACTACAGATAAAATATATTGTGTTCATTTTGCTTTAAAAATGTACTGTTGGTAATTTTACAATAAATATATATTGTTGGTATTTTTACTATAAAAATGCATTTTTATACATTCATAGTGGGGGACCTTAACAGGTGGTGCCTTTCCAGGTCAGGGTGGACCCGGGAACAACAGCAAATAAGAGGTGGTTCCACGCTCCTCAAAACCTTCTGATCAGAGGCCTTGCTACTAGACGTAGTTTATCGTCTTACCCAGGACGATAAAATTTTGGCGAGACTGATACAATTTTACTCACAAATTTGTACATGACGATGTTTTCTGATGCAGTTCAAGTAAAAGAATCCAACGGACAGTATTTTGTATGACATCCTTTCTTTTTAATTACTAGCAACGAGGCATTTTTTTTTTACTAATGTTCACCCAAAAACAATGACCCAACAGTAATTAAAAAGTGGTTCTATGCTCCTCAAAACCTCTAATCTCCCGATCAGAGGCCTTGCTGCCGGATGTAGTTTATCGTCATTCCCAGGACTACAGAATAGGACTATTTTTTTTTTAATACAAAAGATCACCCAATACAAGACTCGTGCGTCTCTCAAGGTAGAGGGTTACTGTTAAACTGATGAATGAGATGCATGATAAGAATGAAAATAGAATTGGTAGGAAGTGGAGAGTATTAGCATAAGGAGGATAGACAACTGCTAATATTGTAGTATTCAAGGATCCGTAGCAACAATCTTCGCAGGTTGATTAACGGGAAGCCTTTTTCTTTCTTTTCTTTTTGCTTGCTTTTTTTTAAAAAAAACAGATCTCTTAATAAACGTCTTTCATGACATGTAATGTCAACTCTTTTTAATGCTAAAGTTCATCCAATGCAATACTCCAGAGCCACTCAAAGTAAAGGGTTACAATTAAAATTGTTAATGAGATATGATGTGAACTTTCTCCTTGTATAATACTTTTCCTATTTTCCCGTGTATAATAAATTATAATAGATGAGTGATCCAAATCAAATCTTATTGCGATAGATCCCTGAATCGTCAATATTGTTGTAACGTTCCCTAGGGAAAGCTACTGAACATAATAATCAAACGAAGCTTGGTAATGAACGTTAATACTTCGGACAAGAACAACACATATAAGATTCGCCAGCGGCGCGTAGAAGTAGTCAACTGCTAGAAGTGAGTCAAGTCAATTCCACAATGAATCTAAAACTGCAGGATATCTGCCAACCGCCCGACGCGGTCAGATGTGGCACAAGGCAAAATTTAATGTAGGGTATCGGAGCCCGTAGACTCGGCCCAAAATTCCCCTTAGACCCCGTATAAAACGGGGTCGGGTAGCTGTTTTCCGTGACGAGACGCTGCCCTTGGACATAGCCTCGTCTGAAGACCCTCTCTGCTTTCAGGCAGAGTTTGACCAACACAGCTAGAGACGAGTCTCCAATTCTATGATATCTACCAACTGCCCCATGCGGTCAGATATTCCACAAGGCCGAATTTAATTTGGGGTATTCGAGCCTGTAGGCTCGGCCAAAATTCCCCGTAGAACCCATATAAAACGAGGTCGGGTAGCTGTTTTCCGAGGCGAGACTCTGCTCTTCGACAGTGCCCCGTCTGGGGATCCTCAGTGCCCGGAGGCAGAGAATTTGACCAGCACAGCTAGAGACGAATCTCCAACTTTAGACCACGTACAGTATTCACTATTGTACTTATGGGAATGGGGGCATTCCCATTATCGTCCATAGGAATGCTACAACAAATATGGAGTGTCCATTCAGGACTTTGGCGATCATGGCTCTCCACAATTTCCTAGTCTTTGTAGCCTTAATAAATTTTGTCTTTTTGTTATCTCTCCTAAACCTGGTTTTCCATCAATGTACACGAGAACTGTTTTCCTCAGCTCCTCTTGCATTCAATGTCATGTGAGTCTCAAATTTTCCCAGTCTTCTTTCCTCATTATTTGCCTAGAAATTTCAACTGTCTCATTGTGATTTATTTAATAATGTGGATTATTAATTTTCACATCATCTTGAGAAATCATTTTTTTCTTAAAAGTCAAAACAAACTTCTTCTTTTCTATGTGTCATGCCACCCACCAGGACTTTGGCGATCATGGCTCTCCACAACTTCCTGCCCTTTGTAGCTCTTCATAAATTTTCTTTTTTTGTTATTTCTCCTAAGCTTTGTTCCGCCGCCCATTTATTCAAGCACAGTAGGTAGTTTATCTGTTGTTTTCCTCTATTGCTCTGTGAGTATCAGATTTTCTAAGCCCTCTCTCCTCATTATGTGCCCTACTGTCTGTTTCTGGTTTTATGTACGAGTGTCCTTTTTGTTTCCATTTACTCTAAAGCTCACAAGTTCGGGTCCCTAGTTGCTACAATCAAATGTCAAAATTGGAATGCAAAATAGTAAATGATTAAAGAAATTCACTGTAAATGAACTCAAAAGAGGATTATCAGGAATTAATGCATTTTATACCTACAGAATAGGGCTATTATCTTTTATAATAAAGTTTCCCAGTACAAGACCCGTGAGCCTCTCAAGGTAGAGGGTTGCTGTTAAGTTGACTATGATGAATGTGATGCGTGATAAGAATGAAAGAGGAATCGGTAGGAAGTGAAAATTATACAGATAAGGAAGGTAGACAGGCGGTTGACAACTTAAAAATGCTAACGTTGTAGTGTGCGAGGGAGCATGTATCCAGACACAGACTTCTATAACAGAGAACTAACCCCGTTTAAAAGTTTAATTGGATGAAATTACGGAACGGTGATTCGGAGAGAATAACAACGATAATAATTATTCAAATTCTCAGGAGAGTAGGTCGAATGGTTGAGAAGAAATGAAAAAAGAACGGATTCAAATTTAAGTTTTAAAATAATAAAATCAATTTAAGAAGAGTTCCCAACCCTATCCACTTCCCACCGATAAGAAGACATGATTAATGTGTTTTTCGAATTTCTTTCTACCTGTAACATTGAATTCGGATGTTTGTTTACATTTAGCTATCTTTCCAAAAACGCGTCTGGTCTTGCAGAGGATAATAATCCAGATTCTTTAAACAAAGAATGGGGTATCTATTTTTATCCTAGGCTTCGAGTTTGTTTACATTATACTATCTGTCCAAAATGTGTGTGTTCTTACAAATTATTCTAGACAAAGAAGAATTTTGATTTTTTTTATTCCTAAGCTGGGGATTTATTTATGTTAATCAGCTCAAGAACGCAATTCCAGAAAGATATATAGGGAGATTCTAAACAATGAGAGTGCCATTTAATTAATTAGCAAGATTAAGATGGTTGGAGAAACTGAATATATCAATGTCAAATTTGAGTGGGGCGGTGTCTATATAAGCAAGAACTCCCCAGACACAGGCAGACGGAGAATTGGGCTCAGTAAGGAAGGTTGTCAGAGATTCGCACCGGTCACTTTACCTGTGGCCAGAGTAAAAACACAGAGACAGATGGAGACGGGAAAAGTCAACTCAGAGCGGCTCGGGGTTGCTTGTTGAACAGTCGTCGATAAGAGCATATCCGTAATTCCCTTAGCCAGAGTGAAAACACAGACACACGTATGACAATAGAACTGAGTGAGATTCAACGAGCGGGTTACTACTTTGAAGAATTGGGGAAGAGTCGACTGACTGGTTATTTCTTTAGCGTATGTGACTAGATTCCGCAAATCACCATCCTTCAGTAGAATCCAACAAGTTTTTTTCTTTATATCTAATAAACATGTTGTTAAAGTTAACTACAGCGTCGTGCATTTTATCAAAGGAGTTCTTATTTCAGCTTTATTCGGAATTTGCCCACAGACGCAAAGTGACAAAAAATACCACGGCCAAAAACAGGAATTACGCAATCTTAGGCAGTACTGTGTAATTCCTGTCTATTGTACACAACGTACATAGCAGGGTCCACACTAGACTTCGTCATCACTTCCAATATCGTAAGATTTGAGTAAACTCGAATCAATCCAATCGAGACGACACACCGTTCCCAATCAAGAAGGGAAAAAATCCAGGTGAAGCTTTAGGTCGGTATTATTCAACAGGGTTAGTGAGGCTACCGATTAACGAAGAAGAAGAAGAAGAAGAGGTGACGGAAAGACGGAGAGGTGTGGGGTGTGAGTTGATTCGAGTGTTACACCTCAACAAATTAACGGTTCTTGGGAAAAATCTGTTTAGCTAGAACTTTCTTGTTTCGAATGGAATACGAAGAGAGTGAGGTCATACAATCCTGTAGATGAAGCAAGTCCGAATTAGAAATCGGATATTAGCAGAGTTCTAATTCTAGACGGGTTCGTTATATTCAATTACGCGCAAATACCCTTGGGAAAGATATGGGTCAACATCTTCTCCTCCAGCTATGGATTAATTAGTAATACTTGTATTACTAGATCATTATTATCTCAAAAAATGCTTACAATCTAAAACCGTCTTTAAATAAGCTGCAAGAGGTTGATAAGCCGTAAAAATAACAAATCAAGCAATAATCTTCGATTAATATCTAATATCACTCATCGTTTACGGTCATATCACGTTTAAACACTGAATCTCGATTTTCATCAATATATATATATAGATAGATAGATAGATAGATAGATAGATAGATTATGAAATGGACTAAGTCCAAAAATTATTTTTAAATATCTATGAAATATCTCGGAAATACAGATCAATACCGAGTTGTGAAATTGATTGCCTTCAAGCATAAAACAGACTGTCGCCAGTCAGTGTTCTCCTCAGTATCACATCATATTATTTTTTAAATTGATGTTCATCTTGTACAAGGCCCGAGAGCCACTTGAGGTAGAGGGTTACAGAGTAACAGTCGCGGTTTATGGGGATATGTAGGAAGATAACGGTTAACCTTAGACTTGAATAGGTTAAGACTATATATATATATATATATATATATATATATATATATATATATATAAATAAAAAAAAAACCACTTTAAGGTTCCATTTAATAAATTATTTCACCACAGCCCTTTAAAAAATCCTTATAAAATAATTTGAGCTCTCTTTGGTTATCCTCTTGTTTTTTCTGTTGGATTACCTAATTTTTCATAAACTAACTAACTATATATAATATATATATATATATATATATATATATATATATTATATATTATTTTATTTTTAAAAAATTTATGATTCCTTCGCTACATAAGAGTTCTTATGTTTCAAAAACAAGAGCAAAACCTCAATATAATTATTAAAATTAAATTGAATTAAACTATCAATCTCTGTTTCATCCTCAAACGAAAATGTTAGAATAACCAATCTTGAAATTTACGCAACTTTATAAGCATATTCATTCGTAAAATTAATTACTATGGAAAGTATATATATATATATATATATATATATATATATATATATATATATATATATATATATATATATAAGGAGGAATTTATTTTTGACGCCTGTAATAATTGTCACAAAAATACATAGGCGAAACATCAAGGAATCTAAATAAAAGATTATGAACACAAAAGGGACATTTTACAAAACAATACATCGAATGCGTTGGTTTCCCACTGTAATGAGACTAACCACGATTTTGAGAAATTCTACTCTGATCAAAGGGGAAAACAATTCACAACGGCGAAAATGTCTAGAGAGTGACTTGATCGCAAGGTCAATAACAGGAAAATTGCACCCTGGCTCTTACAACATTTCACCATTCCTGGCAGATCTTCTAATATCATATGGGGGGATATCTAATAACAAAAATGATCGAAAGAGAAAGGAAAAGAATCTAAATTAAATCGGCTGAATTAAAAAATAAATAAAATTCCCATCATCCCTCATTCGTATGCATGCGCAGTCGGACCAAGCGAACAAATTTAGTCTAATGAAGTTCTAAAGTCACAAGAAAACTTTTTCCAATTTGTCATATATTTTTCCACAATATTGTTCATGATATATAAAAATATATATCATTATCACACACACACACGCGCGCGCGCATTTTTTTTTTTTAAGCGTTTCACCCCAAGCAAGGCTGGAAGCCACGAGGACGCAAGGGGTTACAGAAATTTTGGAGCAAGATCAAATAGGAGTGATAGAAGAAAGGATGAGGAGAAGGGTAGTGGATAGATCAAGGCAACTGGAGATGTCGATTGACATTACATTTGAATAACTGGAGATTATAGCTCTCAGGGAAAGTAGAATAGGGAAGGGAGTTCCACAGGCGAGAGGTGCGAGACATGAAGCTATTGGAGTAGAAGAGACGGCTACATTTAGGAGTTTCGACAGTGAAGGGGTGAGAGCGGGATGATATATCTATATCTATCTATCTATCTAATATAAATATATATCATTATCACAAACACACACGCATATATATATATATATATATATATATATATATATATATATATATATATATATATATATATTAAGAATCTTTTAATAACTTCGGATATGCATATATTAAATGCCAGACGTGAAAAACCAAACGCACATGTATTTCTGTGCGTTTGTGTATGTGCACGAACGTGTGTATGTGTGTGTTCGCGTTCGATTCTACAGACGGATATTGTTTCTCATCTTCACCAAATTCAGACACATGCGAATACACACACAGACACACATGCCCTGAACACAGACACACAGACACACACACACACACATTACGTTCTGTGATTTTCACGTGATGCTAAAAGCACGCGCCAACGATTATCGATCGACTGCCTGGGCTGATCGTTTGAATCAGCAAAAACAGAATGAGAAAGAGAGAGGGAAAGGGATAAAGAAGATAAATAGAAAGTGAGAGAACCAAACAAAAAAAAAAAAGGAAAAAGGTGTGAGAGAGAGAGAGAGAGAGAGAGAGAGAGAGAGTGAAAAGAAAGATGATGGCAGGTGATGTGAAAATGCGTCTGTACATTTTATAAGCATTACATCCGGGAAAAAGAAATCCCGACCAGTTTGTCATCAACCTCTCATCTTATGACCACCGTTATCGGGATTTAGTTATATTTATCTGACCTCATACATTAAATAGCTTCTTGTCAAAGACTAATATATATATTGCATATGTTTTGGCAACATGTTTTCATTAAAAATGTCTCATTAAATAATTTAGACAAGTTCTGTCTACTTATTTTTAATAGGATCCTTTCATAATTAAATTTCTTAGTATCCTTATTAAAGGGAGTAAGAAAATTACCATGTTGATGCATATTTATTTTATTCAGAGTACTTTCGACGTAGCACAATGTCGCCATGTTTGCATACATATATATATATATATATATATATATATATATATATATATATATATATAAAAAAACTCAAACACTAATATTTCATGGTTATAATCTATTACATTGGAATCGTAATCACGGTCCAATTAATCAGATCTGCAAATTCAAAAAAATATTCTTACTCTGTCCTGGACATTGAGTTCTATATGGATTCTATCCTCTTGGGAATTTATATATATATATATATATATATATATATATATATATATATATATATTATTGTTTGACCACTAACATTATCAATATATATATATATATATATATATATATATATAAAGATGTCAGTAATAGATGGTGGAATGATTGCCGCAGCATATCAAAATATTTTGGTAGCAAATTTAATGATTTCGGTGGAAAATCTTGAACTTCTTCCTGATTGGATCTTCCAACAAGATAATGATCCTAAGCATACTGCAAAATCTAGGAAGAAATGGCTTGCTGAAAATAATGTTAATTTCATGAAATTGTCAAGTCAGTCCCCAGATTTAAACCCAATCGAGAATTTGTGGCGTTATTTGAAAATTCAAATTCAATTGAGAGCTGCAATAAACATTCCGAATCTGAAGACCAATGTGTGAAGAAGAATGGAATAAAATACCAACTAAAATTTGCAAAACATTAATTGAGAACTACAAGAAGAGGTTGATTGCTGTAGAAATGAATAATGGCTATTCTACAATGAAGATTATGCTTTTGTTTTTTGGGGTGATTTTTTTGCATTGTACGTATACTTTTTTCACCCATTAAAATGGATAAACGGGATTTATTTCTATTAAATCATTATTTTCTATTTTCTATGCATATTAATTATATGAAAAATATGTTTATGCATTAATTGGATATACAATAAATTAAAAATTTGCCTGTGTACGAATATTTGTTTCCTCCTGCTGTATATATATATGTATATATATATATATATATATATATGTGTGTGTGTGTGTGTGTGTGTGTGTGTGAGATGAGCCAAAAGTAGATATGCACTTTAAGATTTATTACATTTATATTTATTTTTTACAATAATATTTGTTCAAAACTATTTATGTCCATTTCTTTAACACTTATATTTTGTTTTTCGAACAGTTTTAATCTGTTAAGTGCTCAAATTGTCTCCCTTCAACACTGCAAGATTCCTCGAACCTTTCCAGAATATTATGACAAACAGCACAACACAAATCCCAATCCGTATTAATTTCAATAAATATTTCTATGATGCATTCTTTTAATTCATCCACTGTGTGGGGATCTCTCTCTCTTTTTTAAACACATTTTTCCTCCCTGGTCTTTTGAACTGGATTAGAGGTTCATCCCTTGTTTCTTGTTTAGGATTGGCTTTCTGCTTTCTTCTCAAGTTTTCTCATTTCTTTCACTCCTTGCAATTCATTGCGTCTCAGTGGCATTATTCCTTCGGGTGAATAGAAAAAAGTCTCTAATTGTACTACAACAAGCAAAGGCTCAACGTAACAACAATAATAATAATAATAATAAATAATGTAAAACCAATATGTAGATTATGAGAGTTTTTTTACCACATGAGTAGTAAAAAGAGAAACTATTATTGTAAACTTGGTATTTCAACTTAATATGCACATTTTAAAATATTTGTGGAGTGTTCATAATTAATTTTCTTATAGATAACTTTGAGAATTTTTAGTTTATGTTTATCCTTTTCGTGAAAAAGTATAGGGGTATTTACAACGAGAATTTTTCTGAATTGCGAATGTGGACAGGTATGCTGTTGTAAATGTCGTAAAAAAACTCTCCAAACCATATTTAGTTACCTCCCTTTAAACGTTTTCAGCGGTCACGTACTGACGCAGCGTTCCTCATTCCATTAGTAAAAAATTTATCTTTCAGATAGCACAATTTTTCTCTGAAAATATTGGATACTTTAATACTTACTTTATTATAAACAATAACCTGATGATGACATGGATATGTCGAAAGTACTTGGTAGTAAAACAAATAGGCATAAACACGGTAATTTTCTATCGTCTTTCAGTAATGACATAAAAAAAAACTTATCCTAGAGTATGAAAGGATCTTAACGAAAATAAGTAGACAGAATATGTCTAAACAGTACAACGAAACATGTCTTTATATATATAAATACAGTAGCGTTCAAAATTAAGGAACAAAAGTTAAAACTTTGATATCTCAAAAGATATGTCCAATTTTTCTGAAAAAATGTAAACAAATGACAGTTCAGTTATGTTTTAAATCTGTAAGTTATTTGGAATGATACAGAGAGAGATATGATTCATTTAAGTTTTTACTTAAATATCAACAGTCCAAAATTAAAGAACAAATCGGGAAATATGTGAGAATAACGCACATAATCCGAATTTATAAGCGAGGTTAAAATAAAGATTGTTTATCATCACTACGTCATTTTCCAACATGGCGAACCGACGAAACGTTGATAAGTCTCTAAGAGCTGATGTTATCAAACGGTGAAAGGAAAATCACTCAAGTGAAGCGTTTCAAAACCGCTGTGAGCCGAAGCCCGAAACTGTACGAAAACACTGGTCGCCTAACCAGTCCAAACAAGGGGGAGGGGGGTGACCAAGGAAAACAACGGATAGAGAAGACAGGATAGTTCAACGCCTAGCACTGAAAAGAAAAGTTTTCTTGTGACGCGTTTTGTCCCTTACGACTACATAGGACTAGTCTTGTTTGCGTTAATGCGACTACACATGCGCACGAACGACGGACGCTAGTAACTACGTCTAAAACAATAAAAAGAATTAATCAATATAAAACAAAACAACAAACCAAAACCTGAAGGAGGAATTTACTCTGTCACCCACAAAGATTGCCAGAAGGAATATATTGGTGAAACCTCAAGATGTTTAAATAAATGATTATCTGAGTACAAAAGAGACATTTTAAAAAAAATCACATTTAAACACTTTTTAGTTGCTCACCGTAATGAGATTGAACACAATTTTTAAATAAAAAACTATACTCTAATTAAAAGAGAAAATTCAAAAGACGATTATATATATATATATATATATATATATATATATATATATATATATATATATATATATAAGGTTAATAGTCAGAGTTGAATCAGGCCAGGAAACAGTAGTATTAAAAATCCTTTCTTCTCATTAAAGTTTACTCATTCTCTTTTTATATGCGTCTTACTGGCATTATCGGTTTCATCCAAGTTAAATTATATATATATATATATATATATATATATATATATATATATATATATATATATATATATATATACATACATATATACATACTAGCAGCATTACCCGGCGTTGCCTGAGTTTATTCAAAAAAAGATCAGAAACTTCATCCAATCTGTAAAGTTAAAATGAAGATTTTTCTTTATTGCTTCTTATTAATATCGTGAAAAATTATGACATGAAGTGTGAAAACATTTATAACAGGAGAAAGTTGTTTTTTACAGAAGCACAGAAGATAAAAAAATATTTGTCAGCAAATGAAGAGTACATTAATCACAATTGATCTTCGAAAATTGTTGAGGAGAAATGCTTTGTTGACAGCTTTTGCTCAAACTACAACGAATGAACAACATGCATTGGAAGGAGAAGAAATTCAACAAAGACTTCTCCTAGCAGCCGTGCCAAGGCTGAAAACCAACGTTCAAAATGACTGTATAGAATTGTTCTTTGTCCCTCAGTTTCGACAGCTCGAGTAGGAGAAGTTCTGGCAGCGTTCCTTCCTCGTCGAGTTAACCGTTGCTCATTAGTTTCTGCTGACCTTGCATTAACTGTACGAATATGCATTTTGTTCAGTCTAATTTGAGTTTTTGTTGCGAAGGGTTTCTTTCCGTGCTTTCATACGTTTGGCTTTGTAGTAGAGACGTCCAAGAAAAGGATTTCGCTTTCTTGGCATTACTGTCAATCTGTAGTTGGAGGGGTTTGGCTAAGTTTTTTGAATAACAATGAAGTAATCAATTAAAAAGCAAGAATATTATACACTATAATGGAAATATAACCACAATAAATTAAATGCAAGTTTATAAGGGGGACCACGGGAACAAACGGAATAGTAAACATGTAAGATAAATTTTAAAACTTCTGTTCTGACATGTTTTGACGAAACATGCCAAAACAGAACTTTTTCAAAATTCGCAATAACATATATATATATATATATATATATATATATATACACTGAGAGAATGACAAACACATACACAAAAGCTTTTTTCTGTCTCATATATAAAGACATATATATATATTATTTATTACGCCTCTCGAAAATTCCCGCCAAATACTGAATATTTTATCGGGTTGGAAAATGACGAAAGCGAAAAGTTAGAGAAAAAAATGTCTTTTCTATTCTTTCTTTCCTTTTTGACTAGCAATTTAACCCGCATTATTATTTTGCACTTGCGTTCCTCTTTTTCACGAAGATGTTTTTTTTTTTTTTATTTTGCTCTAATGGGTTGAATTTCTTCTTCCTATTTCCTTTTGTTTTTGTTCTATTACTTTTATTTAAATTTCTTATTCGTTTCTTTTTATTTAATATCCTATAAATGTCGTTTGCTCATTTTCGTCCTCTATTCTCTGTTATTTCGTATGTTATTCGATGCTGTTTTATTCTGGTTGTGTGGTGGGGTGTAAGGCACGAGCAGGGTGAGTTGAAATCGTGACTACTATAGAAAAATTTTAGA